ATCTATCTTGCCTATCTTATCTATCTTATAGGTCGATCTATCTATCTATCTCTCTCTCTCTCTCTCTGTCTGTCTGTCTATCTATCTATCTATCCTTCCATCCATCCATCCATCCATCCATCTATCTATCTATCTATCTATCTCTATTTCTATCTGGTCTATCTTATCTATCTCTATCTTTCTCTATCTATCTCTATCTATATCTATATCTACATCTATATCTATCTATCTATCTATCTATCTATTTATCTATCTATCTATCTATCGCACTATCTATCTACCTACCTATCTATCTATCTGTCTATATCTATATCTATATCTATATCTATATCTAAATCTATATCCATCTATATCTACCTATATCTATCTATATCTATCTATACCTATCTATATCCATCTACATCTATCTACATCTATCTTTATCTATCTATATCCATCTATATATATATATATCTCTATCTATCTCTATCTATATCTATCTATATCTATCTCTATCTCTATATCTATCTCTATCTCTATCTCTATCTCTATCTCTATCTGTCTGTCTGTCTATCTATCTATCTATCTATCTCTCTCTCTCTCTCTCTCGCTCGCTCTCTCTCTCTCTCTCTCTCTCCATGGCCTCGTCGGAAAGTTCAGCAAAGCTAAAGGCGATCTCTCTCTTTCTAACCTAATCTAATCTAACCTAACCAAATCCAATTCCACCCAATCCAATCCAATCCAAGCTAATCTATCGCAGTGATGTATGAATCTATTTGTTCATCGATCTACCTATCTACCTATGAGTATGCATATAAATACCTGCAACATCCACGTGTGCTAAATTTTGGCCTCTTTGCAAAGAGCACAAAATTTCAGCCCTTAAAGTAAAAGAACGCCCATGGCAGTTTTCTTGAGCAAGAAAAGTGCCCTTGGAAGATCATACCTGCGTCAAATCCAAGTAGTTCTATTCCAAGTTGTGATTCCAATGTTACAACTGTTGGATACTGTTGGTGCCTGCTACTAGCACCAAATCAGCGACTGAAGAGCCTGCATGACATGCCTGTGTGGGATGAGCAAGTTGCTAGAATGGTATGAAAGAGGGCAAAGCTGCTTAAGACAAGAAAACCCATGAAGCCAAAGACAGGTGAAGTGGGAGCCATGGTCCCAGTGTCAAAAAAATCAGTATGTGCGTTGTGTGTGTGCGTTGTGTGCGCCCATGGTTTGTCACCCGTATCATACCTCAAAAACCTCGAATTTCGAAAATTGGAAATGGGTGGTTTCCCAATTACGGCAAATTACGCTATTTTCCCGGCAAATTACGCCTTTTACCCGGCAAATTACGCCTTTTAAAAGCGTAGGATTTTGGCATAAAATGAAACCTTGTTATGCCATACCTTATCAGACCAGTAATTAGATGATCCCGGGTTTTGTGATCAAGAACTGTTCATGCCATAACAAAAGTGTCATTCGTCGCCGTCGCACCAGCTGATGGTAAGCCGATCATGCCATGATAACCGTGTCGTGCCAGGAAAATCCTGTCACACAAAAACGGTATCTTACCAGTAGTACCGCACAAGGCGGTAGCAGAAGTTTCAAAAATATGAAACACATAGGAGAGGTTGGCTGCTGTGAATCACGGATGGCAGAGCGAACCGATTGATGGACTAAAAGGTGGCTGAGGCTCTAAGTCTCCTCTCTTTCTCTCTCTTTCTCTCACTATCTATCTACCCACCTACCTACCTACCTACCTACCTATCTACCTACCTACAGTATCTACCTATCTACTCATCTACCTACCTACCTATCTTTCCATCTACCTATCTACCTATCTACCTATCTAGCTATCTATCTATCTATCCATCTATCCATCTATCCATCTATCCATCTATCCATCTATCTATCTATCTATCTATCTATTAATCTATCTAATCTATCTAATCTATCTAATCTATCTAATCTATCTAATCTATCTTATCGATCTATCTATCTATCGATCTATCTATCTATCTACCTATCTACCTATCTACCTATCTACCTATCTACCTATCTATCTATCGATCTATCTATCTATCTATCTATCTATCTATCTATCTATCTATCTATCTAATCTATCTAATCTATCTAATCTATCTAATCTATCTAATCTATCTAATCTATCTAATCTATCTAATCTATCTAATCTATCTTATCTATCTTATCTATCTTATCTATCTATCTATCTATCTATCTATCTACACCAACCTATCTTATCTATCTTATCTATCTTGTCCATCTTATCTATCTTATCTATCTCATCTATCTTATCGGTCGATCTATCTATATCTCTGTCTGTCTGTCTGTCTGTCTGTCTGTCTGTCTGTCTGCCTATCTATCTATCTGTCTGTCTGTCTGTCTGTCTGTCTGTCTGTCTGTCTGTCTGTCTGTCTGTCTGTCTGTCTGTCTGTCTGTCTGTCTCTGTGTCTGTCTGTCTCTGTGTCTGTCTCTGTGTCTGTCTGTCTCTGTGTCTGTCTGTCTCTGTGTCTGTCTGTCTCTGTGTCTGTCTGTCTCTGTGTCTGTCTGTCTCTGTGTCTGTCTGTCTCTGTGTCTGTCTGTCTCTGTGTCTGTCTGTCTCTGTGTCTGTCTGTCTCTGTGTCTGTCTGTCTCTGTGTCTGTCTGTCTGCCTGTCTATCTTTCTATCTATCTTTCTACCTCTATCCGACTCTATCCATCTTTGTCCATCCATCCATCGTTTTATTTATCTACGTACCTATCTTCCTATCTACCTGTCTACCTATCAACGCATGGAACTTATCCATCCATCCATCCATCCACCCATCCACCCATCCATCCATCCATCCATCATCCCTCCATCCATCCATCATCCCTCCATCCATCCATCCATCCATCCATCTATCTGACCATTTTACCTATCTATTTGTCTCAAAGCTTTTGCACCCAAAGCCGTGCCTTGTGTGGGCACATCATCTTCAAGGCCGCGGCGTCGCACTTCTTTTGACCCCGGCAGATCACAACGTGACCAGTGTGGAGGATTACTGTCAGAAAAGACATGTACGAAAGCGTGCAAGACTTGATAACGTCAAAAACGAAGCAATTCTGCGAGACTTCCTTCAATAATGGAAAATTGAGTGCAGAGCTGACAGCCTCGTGCCAATGCGTTTTGCGATTTGTCCATTCCATGTCTCTAAAGCATCGCGCCTGCCACGAAAAAGTGAAGCCAGGTCATACAAAGTGCTGCACCTGTCACGCAAGATCATCTTAGCAAACCTGAAGATCCCACGCTCCAAAATACAACCCCTCTCAGGAAATCAGCGCCTGACCTCCGAACATCTCTGATGAACATGTCTCTTGTATTGCGCCTGCCATGGGTCCTCTTCAAATCTCCCATGCCTGCCTATGCTTCTGAAAGTGCGACAAACCTCACTTTTTCTCACTTTTGGCAAGGTGCAGAATCCCTTGCGCCGAACGACCTCCGAACATCCAAAAGTGGTCCGAACCTGTCATCTTTTCCGCTTTTGACTTCGACATGTACTCGCTTCACAACGGCGTGCACTTTTGCGACATCTCAACTGCCAAAAATGGTCTGGAGCTGATGTGCTTTGTACATTTTGACTTGGAAATGTTCTTTGCGCCACAATGGAACGCATTTCATCGACATCTCAACTTCCAAAAGCGCTCCGACACTGAAGTGTTTTGTACATTTCGCCTTGGAAATGTGCTTCGCGCCACAACGGCGTGCAATTTTTCATCTCTCATCTGGCCACATGGCTCTGCACCCGCCGCTTTAGCGAGCCTACTTTTCGACCCTCCGGCCATAAATCATTGGAAAACACAGTGAGTCACAACTTTTCTACATTTTCTCGCACCTGCATCTTCTTTCTTCTCACTCTTTCTCTTCTCTGATCTTCTCTCTTCTGCTCTTATCTTCTCTGACTCTTCCCACCTCTGCTTTTCCATCTGCCCATATTGTCGGAAGTTTGACTTCCAAACTTCCTTCGATAATATCGTCTTATATATGATGCATACTCTGCGCAACTGCTTCATGCAGCAGCCCATGAGCACAGCTTTACCCGGCAACGAGGGTTCTGTGATTAGTTAGTTGTTCAGCCTTGCCCCTGAAACATCTTCGAACTTTAACAGGAAACTGGCGTCAAATCTACGAACGCTCCAAAAGTCAAACAACACCTCTTAGATAAAAGGCGGATTTGGGCTAAGGGGCAAAAAAAGCGAGACCCTCAGGAACATCTAGGTATGTACATATACTATCATATATACTATAGTTCTCTCTCTCTCTCTCTCAATTCTGTGTTTGTATGCTGCAGGCCGTGGGACGGTTCACAATTCAATTGTGGTCACCCTTTCTGAGGTGAATTGGCATGACGCATTGTTTGCTCTACCTGGCATCTGTTGATTCCAACGTTTCAAATAAGATGTTTCTGTTGGGTGCGACTGACCTACTGCCGATGTTGAGGACTTGGGTGTTCAAAAACAAGTGTCGCGCACGGCAAAGGTCATCTCTACAAAAGTTCTAATATCCAGATATCCATCAACATCGCTTTCCTTGATCTTTTTGCAAGCATTTTCTCATTGATTCTTTGAAATGCATTTTGCAGAATCCTTCATAACAGCTCGAAGCAGTTGAGAAATGCTGCGCAGAAATTGCTTATGAAAATCCGCGAGGGTATTCGCTTTTTTCTCAGCTGTCTACAATAGAAATGTTTGTCTGGAACTGAGCTTCATTCATATGTTCCCATCTACAGTAGATTTTGAGAAACCGGCCCGCCTGATCATGTGACAAAATCCAGCCGCCCTTTTGCTGGAGTTATAAGGAATCAAAAACATTCTGATCTGAGATCTGTTGGTAAAAACATGTGCGCGCCGCTGCTGCATATGCACAGGCAGGTGTACATTTCACGGGCCCATTGAAATTCCTCAAACATGTGCGGCCGTCTCTGGCCCAAACGCATCAACCAAACCTTGCCACTCGAACCCTCGTCTCTGTCCCAATCCATTTGGCCCACCTCAATGAGCTGCTTGAACTCGGCCGTCAACTTTCGAACCTGTCGCACCAAGAATTCTTGGGCAAACTTCTGACAGCTAAACTTTGAAGACTTTGGAATAGCTAAATCGCCCACCTCTTCAAGTCCACTTTCTGCTTCTGCCAGCGCAGCTTCAGCTTTCTTGACTTTGGGGCCGAGTGCCTTCTCGGTTTTCTTTGCACTGCTGAGGGCCAAGGCCTGCCGCCACGGTCAGACGATGGTATACGTGGTATGGTCATCCATCCCATAAAGGGAATCGTTACAGTGCGTGCACAGATCCCCCCCTCCGGGCCCCCATCCCCAAATATCCGAAAATAGTGTGTCTTTCAACTTTCAACCATGGCACATCATGGAACAAATGTGAAGCTTTTCCAAGCGCTGCCACAGTCCAGCCTTTTCCGATTCATTCTCCTGTGCCGCTTGGTACTCTTCCTGGCCAGCGTACAGTGGGTCATCCCCACTTTCTGGTCTGAGAATTAGGAGAACGCTGACAGAACCCCGTCATAGGTGGTTGCAAGTCTTGTAGGTTATGATTGGTAGCTGGAACAATATAGAGAAGCCACAGCGGGAAAAACTTTGAGTTGCCTATCAGTGCCAGCCACACGCCTCGCCTTTTTCTGCTCCTCTGTCTTGAGAGCAGCCTGAAGAACGTCTTCCGCATCTGCCACAGCTTTGGCGCGAGCAGAAGCCTGCAGGACTGTCGGTACCACTTAGGTTCTGGGTCGCAGCATGTCGCAGCGAGTAGCAGTCCAGCCCAAGAAGCACCTCGGCTTCAAAGCCGTTGAGCCTCTCTCTCAACTTGATGACCGCTTTCTGCAGCAGGTCCTGGTTGGGCTTTATCGATTGCAATTGCAAGTGGCGATATATTGGGTTGCCATTCCGAATGCCAAGTCCGAAACAGTCCCAGCCTCTGCATAGGTGATGGCCTGGCAACATTGACACAGGCATGAGCGCAAATCCACATCGCAAATTCATGCAAACATAGAAGCTACCATCCAGCTACTGAGCTACTGTCACGTGGCCATTATAGCCCCTACTCAACAAAAACAAAACGTCTAACTTCCAGAGTCCCAGGATGTCCCAGGAACCAACCTCATCCAATTTCTGATGGCTTCCTACTCTCCATCATTAGCCCATCTCCAGCCCAGTAGCCCAGCACAACCTGGCCTTCTCTGCAAAGGGGCCGCGCTCAGCCGGTTTCGTCTTGAAGGCAATGGGCAGTGCACCCGCCAAGGCGCTATCGAGGCCCGCAGGCTCCAACATCTTCAGGACGAAGTCGATGTGCTTGGCCCGTTCGCGCCACTTCTTCCCATCCAGGCTACCGGCCTGGTTGTTTCAAGGGATGGAAAGGCTGAGACATGAAACATCCAAAATCATCCAAGATCTGCATAGATTTGACACCGCAATCAATGGTCACTTAAGTTGTGCAAAGCTGAAAGGTGCAACAGCTGAAATGGTGGCGTCTCATTCACACGCCTTCAGCACTGCCCATTCCTTTTCAAGAACTCCTTCGTACTCAGCGCCCTCTGCCACCACTGCAGCACGTTCTGTCTCAAGACTCTCTTCCTTGCTTTTCGCAGCAGCCACCTCTTCCTTGGCGGTAGAGACCTGCGCAATTTGGTACCAACATTCATCACGCCTCAAAAATTGCCACCTTAGTTTTTGTGTTTCTTGGACCATCTTGGACCATCTTGGACCCGAGTTGGCCACGTGGCACCCACATCCACCGGCCTCCTTCTTGGCCGTCTGCAGAGCTTCAGCTTTCTCCTGTTTCACGGTCTTCGCGGCAGTAGCCTCTTCCCCTGTAGTGGCTACTGTCTTAGCGGCTTCTTCCAACTCCGACTGATTCGACTTCAGACTCGCTTTAGCTTCTTCAAACTTTTCCGCGTGGTCCTTGTCCACCATATCCACAACCTCAGTTGCAGACACGGAAGAGAGATGCTAGTGACTATATATATTGTTTTCTCAAGCAGTCACATCTCAGCCAACTGAGCTCGAAACTCCTTTCAGCATTTCTTTCGTTTTTAGCTGAAACTCATGAGGCGAATCCACCAAAGAGTATGGAGCCATGTTCAGCAACATGGACTTGGACATCTCCCCAATTGGTGCCAAGTCAACCAATTGGTGGAGCGGCTCCAGCTTGGAGGCATTTGAATCTGTTTTCATGGCTTTCGGCTTTGGAGAGCCCTTGGCATCTGCAGACCTCTTGGCCATGATTCGAACAATTGAAGACCTCTTGAACCATCAAACTGCAGGACGCACACACAGTCAGGGTATCACACTTGGCTCACATAGATATCACCATAAATATATCGCAAACAGAGAGGAAAAATCATATCACAAAGGAGAAGCACATGATAGTACATGGCGTACGGCAAATATATGATTTAAAGATACGTAATAAGTGATGATCTTATATAAATATATAAGTATGCCCACAAGACTTCTCCGGCAACTAAAAGAACCACGGCCTACCATAAAACCATCTGTCCCAGCGGAGAAACGAAAGATCCGGGAGTGGGGTGGCTGAGCTCTGGGGTACTCGTGTAATCACGTGTACAGCTGGATTGAACATGATTGAAGATGATTGAAGTATGTCACATGTCACATTCCTGACGGATCAAGCACATGTACTCAATCTATATACTCATTCAACTTCCCGGCCTCGAGGCTGCAATCGAGCAACTATCGCCGACTATCGCCCTTTCCAGGCCGCCAAGCTCAGATGCTGCATTTGCAATGCATTTGCTGCATGGGCGAAGTTGGACATGTTCCTGCTATCATGCGCCGAACCGCAAGCTTTTTACAATTCCTTCCATCAAACATGCCTGTGCAAAATGCAAGACCCTTGGTCAAATACGCCTTGCCTGAAAGCAAAGGAAAACAAACCAAAACGGGCTTCAACTATTAAACGTATTCGAGCTGAACCTTGAAATAACAGTTGTAAGACGATTCACTGGTGAAATGTGACTGCTGCTTTGGTGCTGTTCGTGCTTTTCAAATCTTTTCAACACTTCAGGCAAAGCTTCGCAGAACACCGTAACCATACTCGGCTTAGCACAGGAAGTATTTCAATCACAGGATTTTTCGAATGCTCACCGGCATCACTTTGAGTCACACAATGCCTGAGCCTAAGCCGATTCTGTGGGTGTACGGAGTGGTTCACCCAAGCGTGGCCACAAAGAAATCTACTTGAGGTACATCATGCCGACTCAAACTGTTCCAAAACGACAGCACTTGAGCCGGCCGGACTGCCTCTCAGAAAACAAAAAGGTCGTGAAAAGCAACGATACACTCCAGGCAAGGCTTCGCATAACACTGTGCCCATACTCGGCTTAGCACAGGAAGTATTTCGATCACAGGATTTTTCGAATGCTCACCGGCATCACTTTGAGTCACACAATGCCTGAGCCTAAGCCGATTCTGTGGGTGTACGGAGTGGTTCACCCAAACGTGGCCACAAAAGAAATCTACTTGAGGTACATCATGCTGACTCAAACTGTTCCAAAACAACAGCACTTGAGCCGGACTGCCTCTCAGGGAACAAAAAGGTCGTGAAAAGCAACGATACACTGGTGAAATTTGCCAGATTTCGTGCAATTCTGTGCTTTTCAACACTTCAGGCAAAGCTTCGCATAGCACCGTGCCCATACTCGGCTTAGCACAGGAAGTATTTCGATCACAGGATTTTTCGAATGCTCACCGGCATCACTTTGAGTCACACAATGCCTGAGCCTAAGCCGATTCTGTGGGTGTACGGAGTGGTTCACCCAAGCGTGGCCACAAAGAAATCTACTTGAGGTACATCATGCCGACTCAAACTGTTCCAAAACGACAGCACTTGAGCCGGACTGCCTCTCAGGGAACAAAAAGGTCGTGAAAAGCAACGATACACTGGTGAAATTTGCCAGATTTCGTGCAATTCTGTGCTTTTCAACACTTCAGGCAAAGCTTCGAATAACACTGTGCCCATACTCGGCTTAGCACAGGAAGTATTTCGATCACAGGATTTTTCGAATGCGCACCGGCATCATTTGAGCCTAAGCCGATTCTGTGGGTGTACGGAGTGGTTCACCCAAGCGTGGCCACAAAGAAATCTACTTGAGGTACATCATGCCGACTCAAACTGTTCCAAAACGAAAGCACTTGAGCCGGACTGCCTCTCAGGGAACAAAAAGGTCGTGAAAATTCGTGAAAAGCCGTATCACAAAGGGACAGGCCCAAACTCATGCTGCTGCAGTCTCTGTCGCTTTCACCAAAGCCCAAAGACATGCAGGATTTGAGCCTTGGTTTGGAGCTGTACAGAAACGCAGCTATACAGAACCTTGGTAACCTAATTAACCCTGGAGCAAAGATTCGTGCAGCTGTGTGCTGCACAATTTGGCTTTCGAGAGCCCTTGGAAGACAAAGAGACCGAGCCAAAGTTACCAAAGAAACTGACCAGAAATGAACAGCCACTCCAGGCTGGCAATCCCTGTCACGCAAGACGCCGAGCGGAGCAATCACGTTCTGGAACCTTATATTGAAGATATGGTCCTCAGGAGTAGCGAGCTACGGTCCTGCAAAACCCGAATGATTTGAAAAAAATACCTGTACAAGCGCATAGGTGGGACCGAGAAGACCCACGGCAAAGAACCAGCGAAGCCATTGGAGCAAAGATGGAAGGACTGAACTGAACAAAGTCCGACCAAAAGTATGCCAATCAGGGAGCAGTTTCTGCTTTATAGTTGGAGCGCCGATCTACCAACATCGAACCCTCCTGTTTAGAACCGACTTCTTGGATTTCACGGCTCCAAATCCGAATAACATCAAGTACTCCCAGAATTTTCCGTTGCTGCTGACTCTTGCGCGGAGAACTTCATCTTCATAGGCTTTATCATATGTATATTGTGTGTATGTACATGTGTGCGTGTAGCAATGATGGCCCAAATTCCACTGCAACGAATTAATGTGTGTCCCCGAAAGATTTGACTTTCGGCGTGGAAAAGATTGGTTTCCTTGCATTTTCAAACCCTGTGTCTGTGAACTCACGTGGCAAAACTGCTCCCTGATAGCAGCAATCGCGTGCCCGCAAGGGGCTCACTCAGCGGGCCGCCAACACCTGAACATCGCACTTTCGCCCCACTGTTGCCCAGTTTTAGGGGTTCTGGACAAAAATAAGGTTCCGAAACTATTTGACGGCCTGCCCAACCAACTTGACGGAGGTTGCGCGCGGATGGCCCTTCTCACTCAAAGCCAACGAAAACGTCACCTTACACATTCACAGCCCCCAACAGGCACTACTTGCATGTTGCTAAAGCAAATGCAAAACTGAATGGCTGTTCACATCCTGAACATGGTGACCACATCCCTCAACTCCAGCCTTGTCGTTCACCTGTGCTTGGAAATGACAACAGAATTTCAAACGTGTCATCAAATAGCATCCACCAAAACATTGAGGAACAATGTGGTGAGTTTTGACACACTTGACATGAACTGTCAAGACATTTAAGACATTTAAGACACAGTCATGTCAAAATTGCCTGAATTCCTTCCGGGAGCAGCGCCGAATCCACAAAGACATCGCGCTTATAGTGAACCTCCCAAGCGAATTCACTGCAGATCACTGCAGCATTGGTCCAGATTAGTGACCAGATTAGTGACAAGCAAATGCCCCCAAAAAAAATTGAGGAACAATTTCACAGATTGACCCTGGAGCCAGTTCAAGATGTCTGGCATCACCAGACCTGCCGTTGAGCTATCTGATATCTGTGCAACTGCCATCCACCTACCTTCGTTTCGTCACACGCAATGAAGCCATATCCATTCTTGTTACCTGAGATGATTCCCGCTCAACATCACCTTCAAGCGACCATTGGATCTTCTCCCACCAAATATTTTTTGAATAACCGGATAAGCCGGACAAGCGAGCGGCTGAAAGTGCTGGCAAGGAGCTGATTGATTTCAAAGTGCCCTCGTACTCTTGATTCAAATTTGGCCTGGACCCCTCACCACTCGCAGCAGGAGGACCTGAGGATACAACATCCCGGGAACATCCATTCTTTCTTATGGCAAGTCCAAAAGCCATGAGGTCCCCCAGAAGAGGCTAGGCCCGGACACTACCCCTGCATGGGAAGCATTGATTATCGACAAGTCACCGGGTGTTGCAGCAGCCAAGGACACCGTTGGTGGGGAGGACTGTGGCACGTTGCCAGGCGCCATTTGTTGATGCAAACCCATCTGGTTCAGCGGACCTTGGAACCAAGAGACAAACTAATGGCGTCTCAATACCAAATGCACAAGTTCAATCGAACCACTGAATCTGACCTCAAAACTAAAATTAGTCATCACAAAGTATATAAACGGTTGCAAGATGTTGGGATGCAATTTTTCAAGCAGTCAGTCAATTGGTTGATGTTTTGAGGTAGGTTTAGTCCTCCCTTTTCGATCTTTTGGCCTTTTCAGAATTTGCCAAGCTGCTGTACCAAGCTGCTGGCGATTGGATAGTTTGCTGCTGTGCCTGAAGCAATTGTGCCTGCATGGCGATGGCAGCCGCTTGCTGCGAATTGGGGTAGCCTTGGTTGGCATAGGCCACCATGGGCGAAATCATGGGATAGGCATAGTTGTATGGGTAGGACGCTTCCGGGGCTTGCCCATATGGCCAAGCTTGAGCTGGAGCACCCGGTGCTGGGGGGGCCGGTGGACCCTTGGCCTTTCCCTTGGCACCTCCCTTGCCTTTGGGCTCAGCACCCTTGGCATCTTTGCCTTTCCCACCTTTGATTGTTGTGGCCTGTGATTCACGTTCAGCTTTAGTAGTTCCCTGCTGCCGGTCAGACAGCACCACGACCAAGTTCTTGCCCTCCACGTGTTTGTTGTCCATCTGCGCGATTGCCTTCTTAGCATCCTCCATCTTGGCGAAGGTCACAAAACCATAGCCACGGCATGTTCCATCCGTGTTCTTCTTTACATCCACGCTGAGGAGGTCGCCAAAGGGTAAAAACATGGTCTTGAGCTGATCTGGTGTGGCATCCTTCACCAAATTGCGGACACAAAGTTGGATACCTGGAAAGCCACCGCCTTTCTTGCCTCCCTTGCCCTTCTCTCCTTTCTCTCCCTTGCCTCCCTTCTTTCCCTGGCTTTCCGGGGTGATCAAACCAGGCTGCTGTGGAGGACCTGCCTGTTGGACTTTCTTCTTTGCACTAGGTGCCTTCGCTGGCTGCTTTGGAGCCAGTGTAGCGGAAGTTTGTGCTCCAGGAGGCACTGGAGCTTTGGGTGGGGAGGATTTGTGGCCTGCATCTGGAATCGGTTTCTTTTTGTTATCTGGCATTTTGTTCTTCTTTGGTTCCGGTTCCTTCTTCACTCCTGTGGCTGCAGAAGCTTCAACCGCTGGAGTTTCCGCAGTTTTCTCCTCAACACGCTCCTGGCCACCACAAAGCAGCTAGCCCACTATTCTCTCCCAGATGTGGGCACCACAAATCAATGTCGAAAAGAAACCAACCAGGGGCACCTCCTCCCAATTTTCCCGGCAAGAGGCCCCAAACAATGTGTAGTTAGGATTCTGACGGGAAAGGTGGACAGGATTACAAAGCATGGGGTTCAGTCAAGGTGGTCTCTGGAAGAAGAGATGCCAGGTTAGATTCTTCAAACTCCCTTTGGGAGATCTCTGTAGAAGATCGTGCGCAAGATCTCCTTGACAGGTTCTTTGTAAAAGCTGCTGTGCAGGATCCCTTTGTAATGGTATTTCTACGAGGTGTCGATGAGAGATCTCTGCAGGAGATCTCAAAGTAAGATCTCCGTTCAAGCTCCCGATAAAAGATCTCTGAGCAAGATCCCTGTTCTCTTCACAGGTTGTGTGCACAAGATCTCTATAAGAGGTCTCCTGGCAAGATCTCTGCACAAGATCTCTAAAAGAGCTCTGTTGGCAAGATCCCTGTAAGAGACCTCTTTGGCAGGATCTTGGCACCAGATCTCTACGCAATGTCCCTGTACAAGATCTCCATAAGAGGTGTCCCGGCAAGATCTCTGTACAAGATCTCTACAAGAGGTCTCTTGGCAAGATCTTTTTTTTGAGATCTCTGCAGAAGCTGTCTATAAGAGCTCTCTGGCAAGATCTCTGTAAGGGACCTCTTGGCAAGATCTCAAACGATCTTTGTGCAAAGGCTCTGTACAAGCTCTCCGAAAGAGGTCTCTTGAGCTCTCCGTACCCTAGAAGAAGTCTCTTGGCAAGATCTGTTTCAGAGATCTCTGCACAAGCTCTCTATAGGAGCTCTCTTGGCAAGATCTCAACAGGTCTCTATGCAATGTCTCTGTTACAAGATCTCTATAAGAGGTCTCTTGGCAAGATCTCTGCACAAGCCCCCTATAGGAGGTCTCTTGCTTTTGAAGAGATCTCTGTACAAGCTCTCTATAAGACCTCTTTTGGCAAGATCTCTGTAAGAGACTTCTTGGCAAGATCTCTGTACAAGATCTCTATAAGAGCTCTCTGTACAAGATCCCCCTATAAGAGGTCTCCTCGGCAAGACCTCTGCGCAAGCTCTCTACAAAAGACCTCCTCAAGATCTCTGCGCAAGATCTCCTTGACTCTCAAAGCAACGCGATCCGACACGTCGAAAGTGACGAGACGATTGCTCGAGCGATCTCGAAATGAGCACCGCGCCACACGAGAGCGATCAGACCCGCGCAAAGCGACGAGAAGGTTACGGGAGCGATCTCAAAATTCGCACCGTGCCACAGCGAGAGCGATCCGACACGCCCAAAGTGACGAGAGGGTTGAGCGAGAGGTTCGAACCACCATTTCGTGCGAGACTTCCGTCAAAAACGGAAGATAAGGAGCCTTTGTGCTGTAAAGGTCACCAAATTTTGCCGGTCACACATCCCAAGACCAAGTTTCGCGCGAGACTTCCGTAGATAAAGGAGCTTTTGTGCTGTAAGGGTCAGCAACAACGGCGCGCACGTATGAGACCACCAAGTGTGGCCACACTGTTTGGGAAAAATGGAGGAAAATCCAAGTGGATTGCCAGCCTTCACTTCCTCTTGGGGCGTCTCGGTGGAAGTTGTACCACCCATCTTGGTGACAGTCCTTTGGCGAGGGTGTGCTGCGCAGCACGCAGGGAAGAGCAGCAAACACACACACACATGCTGTGTTCGACACAAAGTTCAAATCGTGATTGCAAAGCAATGCTAAGTCCAAAATACAATGTCGCAAAGCACTTCGCATTCTTTTGCGCTGAGGTTCGGTGAACTTCGGAAATGCGCTCAATTGTTGTAAGCCCAGGGCGAAACCATGCCGCACAAACTAATTAAGCGCTCAAAAAGCTGCGGGTGCACGAACTTTCGGGGCAGCAAGGTGTGGCAATGTCAAGTAGGGATCGCCACATCACTGCTTTACAAAACAAGCGCCGTAAATGTAAAAGAAAATCTGTGCAGAAGCCCTCTGTTCCCCCCCTCAAAGCTCTCATGTCTTATGCCAATTCGATGCCAACCCTCACGGACGTTGAACAGAATATGTCATCGGGCTCCACCCAGCCTGCAACAAACAGTGGACGGCTTCAACCTGGTTTCATTCATGACATTTCTGCAACAATCGTTTCATTCTAGCAAAACGCATCGTCCCACCCTTGTTCAAACAAGGCCAGCCGACATGCCGCAGCACAACGCGAACAACAGCTGATCTTTGAGGTGCTGCCATACACTGATCCAACCTGGCTGGCACGTTGGCATTTCTGCACAAAAATCTAAAACATGTAGTATGAAATATGATGACATACGAACCTAGAACATCAACAGCTCATAGCAAAGTCACATGCTCACCTTCTGCATCCGTGCCTGTGCAAGCCAGGTGTTTGTGTGGAGTGCTACAAACAACAAAACGTGACCTCAAGCACCAAAATATTTTGAAAAAAACGTTGGGGAAGGTGGAGGTTGGAGCCTGGCCTTCGAGTTCGTCATGGTCTGACAAGCCATCGCGGGCAACACGACCTACACATGCTTCCATATCTCAATTTTCAACACTGGGCTAGCGGCTAGCGCCAGAATCGTAGTTGAGACTTCAGAATGAAGTTCAGCAAAGGAAGTTTAGTTCGGAAACTTCCGAGTTACAAACGAATGTCCGGGCAGTCTTGTCATCATCATGTTCGTCATGTCAGGATCATGTCATCATCAGGTCAATCGTTAGCACGTGAATGCACGAGTGAAAACGCGCCGCAGTAAGGTCTCTGTTTCCGCGGGTGCGGGGCTCGATTTGGGAAAGTTGTCGACAAAAAGCACGCAGGACTAGCGAGAGCTTGATTTGCACATCAATATGCTAAAAACTGACAGCCTCTGAGCACTTTTGGAAGATGATGTCGGCAAAATGCGCACGAGACTGTAGCGAGAGCTCGATCTGCACTTCAAAATGTTAAAAACAAGATGGTCTCGAAGCACTTTTGGAAGATGAGGTCGGTAAAATGTGCACACTGTAGCGAGAGCTCGATTTCACATAAAAACCCTTTAAAAAAAGGCCATGCGCGGAGTAGCGCGGAATCGTCCCGTCAGCGCTGTGCAAACGTTGGTCGATTCAGCGCGATGCTCCTGCTATGCGGGTTTGCAACCGGCTGTGACAAAACTAATTGGCACGGCTGCGCGCAGCAAAGCATGAGTGATGCTGCGACACTCCTGGTAGCTGCGATTGTAGCTGGAGGTTGCTAAATGGCTAACGCAGTGCAACAGATGCCCAAGAGGTAGCTTTATAGATCATATTGCTACTCTTGACAAGAAATGCGCGGAAGCACGAAGACAAGAATGCGAAGAGGTCGCTCAGTGAAGAAGTAGATCGGTGAAAAGTTTCAAGATTTGGCTTGGGAATGCTGGCTTGGGAATCTGTCTACAGAGGTATACGGACAGACAAATTATTCGATATAGATACGATTAGATAGGTAGATGGATGGGTGGATCGATAAATGAGTTAACAGAAAAAAAACGGATGGATGGATGGATGGATAGACAGACAGACAGACAGACAGACAGACAGACAGATAGATACATAGATACATAAATAAATACATTTTTTGCCAGGGCTTCTCAGAGGATATGCCCCACTAATACATAGATACATAAATAAATACATAGATACATATATAGATAGATGCGGAAATTAAAAAAAAGATAGATACATCGATAGATAGGAAGATAAATTGCATAAATAGATAGATGCACAGATTAGATTATATTAGCTCAGATCATGTTAGCCCGGACTAGATTGACTAGATTAGATTAAATAGATAGGTCGATAGGTAGGTAGATAAATAGATAAATAAACAAATAGATGAATAGATCAAATTAGATTACACTAAATTAGATTAGGCTATATAGGATAAGATAGGATAACAGAGAATAGAATAGGATAGAATAGGCTAGACTAGAGTAGACTAGAAAAGATTAGTCTAGATCAGAGCAGACAAGAATAGAATAGACTAGGCTAGACTACAGTAGAATAGAACAGGTTAGACTAGAACGAAATAGAACAGAGCAGACATGAATGGAACAGAATAGAATAGAATAGGTCGGTTTTAGCTAGATAAATAGATAAATAAATAGATAGATCAGATAGATCAAATAGATCAGAGACATCAGAGAGATCAGAGAGATCAGAGAGATCAGATAGACCAGATAGATCAGATAGATCAAATAGATCAGAGACATCAGAGAGATCAGAGAGATCAGAGAGATCAGATAGACCAGATAGATCAGATAGATCAAATAGATCAGAGAGATCAGAGAGATCAGAAAGATCAGAGAGATCAGAGAGATCAGATCACGCTGAGCTCCGAGCTGCCGTCTGTCTGTGGGCAAGGCGAGACACAGACTGCGGAGCAAGTCCAGCGGCGGCAGACTGGTGGCTCTGCGCCCAGCCACGCCTGAACAGACAGGGGCGGCGGCTGTACACCCGCAATATCAATGCTCACCGGAGTGGGAGCACCAGACGCCTCAGCTGGCGCCTGGATGCTCTGGCGGGCTCTGGCAGCCAGGCCGAGGTGACCTGGCAGCGGCCTGTGCGCCGCCTCTTCGACCAGCAGCGGCGCACTTGGACTTGCCAACGGCGCCCTCGCTGGCACGGATGGCCCAGCCGCGGGCGGCGCATTGGGGAAGCGGCCAACCCCGGACCTTCTGCTATGGACATCGACAGTGCCGCCTCGCGGGTCTTCTGTCCTGTCCCATCCTGCCCTTCGGCTGCTGGGCGAGGTGCGCGAGGTTGGGCCTCCCACAGTAGATCAGATAGATCAGAAAGATCAGAGAGATCAGATAGATCAGATGGATCAGATAGATCAGATAGATCAACTAGATCAACTAGATCAGATAGATCAGATAGATCAACTAGATCAACTAGATCAACTAGATCAGATAGAACAGATAGACCAGGTAGATCAGAGAGATCAGATAGATCAGGTAGATCAGATAGATCCGGTAGATCAGATACATCAGATAGATCAGATAGATCAGGTAGACCAGATAGATCAGATAGATCAGATAGATCAGGTAGATCAGAAAGATAGATAGGCAGATGGATTGATACATAGGTAGATAGGTAGATAGAGATAGACATAGGGATAGACATAGAGATAGACATAGAGATAGACATAGAGATAGACATAGAGATAGACATAGAGATAGACATGGAGATAGGGATAGGGATAGAGATTAAAAAGATAAACAAACAGACAGACAGATTAGACTAGGTTAAATTAGGCTCGAATAGATCAGATGACATTAGATTAGGTAGGATAGGATAGGACAGGATAGAATCGAATAGATTAGAGATAGAATAGGCTAGACTAGAGTAGACTAGAATAGGCTAGAACAAATTAGAACGGAACAGAACAGAATAGAATAGGCTAGACTAGAATACAATAGACTAGACTAGACCAAATAGAAAAAACAAAAGAATATAGAATAGAACAGAATCGAACCGAATCGAATCGAATAGAATAGAAAAGAAAAGAATAGAATAGACTCGAATCGCATCAAGAGATAGATAGAATGATAGAATAGTAGATACACAGGGTAGCAGATAGGCAAATTAGTAGATAGACAAATTAGTAGATGAATAGACAGATAGGTTAGTACGTAGGTAGGTAGATATATAGATAGATAAAAGATAAATAGATCGATCGATAGATATATCGATAAATAGATCGATAGATCGATAGATCAATAGACAGGTTGGTATGGAGAGAGAGAGAGAGAGAGACAGAGACAGAGACAGAGAGAGAGAGAGAGCGAGAGCGCGAGAGCGAGAGAGCGAGAGAGCGCGAGAGCGAGAGAGCGAGAGAGCGAGAGAGCGAGAGAGCGAGAGAGCGAGAGAGCGAGAGAGCGAGAGAGCGAGAGAGCGAGAGCGAGAGCGAGAGCGAGAGCGAGAGCGAGAGCGAGAGCGAGAGCGAGAGCGAGAGCGAGAGCGAGAGCGAGGGAGGGAGGGAGGGAAAGAGATGGAAAGAGATGGAAAGAGATGGAAAGAGAGATAGGCAGCTAGACAGACAGACAGACAGACAGACAGACAGATAGATAGATAGATAGATAGATAAACTAGTGGATACATTTGTAGAAAGAAAGAAAGCAAGAAAGGAAGGAAGGTAGGCAGATAGATTAATAGATATATATATATATATTTAAAGATATATATATAATTATATATATATAGGTTAGTAGGGGTCAAGGATGGACCAGGTAAACTAGATAGATAGATAGATAGATAGATAGGATAAGATAAGATAAGATAAGATTAGATTAGATTAGATTAGATAGATAGATAGATTTTATAGATAGATTAGATAAATTAGATTGATTAGATCGATTAGATACATTAGATAGTAGACTAGAAAAATTAGATAGTAGACTAGATAGATTAGATAGATTACAAAGATGAGGTAGGTTGGTTAGATTAGGTAGGTTAGATTGATTGGACAGAGTAGATAGGTTAGACACACTAGATAGGGTGCCGAGGCGTGGTAGTTTCGAAGTGGATACGGCTGGACAAATCTGTCAGACTGGTCCCTCCCTTTCTTGCTTGCTTGCTGGCTGGCTGTCCTCCCTTGGTTGCTTGCTTGCTTGCTTGGTTGCTGGCTGGCTGGCTGTCCTCCCTTCCTCTCTTGCTGACTGGCTGGCTGGATTGCTTGCTTGCTGGCTTCCTGCCGCAATATCTTCAATAAATTTCTGAAAAAAAATCGGAATCTGAGAAAAATCCCGGGAAAATTACGTAGCCTTGCTTCTACAAAGGGTTACTTTTGTTGACTTTGTTGATGTCCCCACTATGGACTCCAAAGGACATTCCCTTTGATTCTACACTGGGTTACCTTTGAATTTTGATCTCCTGTCCAGGTGCGCCTTTCGATCTAGAAAGGTGTGCCTTTGTGTCTATACCTAGCTCCCTAGCTCCGGACCACACAAAGGTATACTTTTTTTTGCGGAGGCCAGTGGCCGGCCGGCGGGCAGTGGCCGGCCGACCCACCGGAGGCAGCGGGCAAGTCCACCGGCCACCTCGCCGGACCGGCCACCGGCCCAATGGCCCGGCCACTGGCCCGATAGTGCTAGTGGTGTTGGTCGCTGAGCGGTTGGGCCGATTACCCATTGGCCGGTGGCAGGACTGGTGGGCCGGTGGCAGGTGGACCGCTCGGTCAACCGGTGGGCTAGTGGCCCGGCGGGCCGGTATTATTTTTTAGGGTTGGCTGGCCGGAAATTCAATCAACTTCACTTATCTCAACTTACGATGTCAACTTTCGTCGCACTATCAAAGTAGCGTTTCGCGGAGGGGGGGGGCGTAAAAAAAAAACTACTTCACTTAAATTAAATTACCATGTCAACCTTCCTCATACTACCAACGTATGATTTTATACGGTGGCAGGCAAAAAAATAAATTTCACTTAACATAACTTACCATGTCGACTCTCCTCACGGTATCAACGTAGCGTTTTGTAGAGGAGGGGCGGCTTAACAAACTTAATGTAGCATAACATGACATTTGTTTTTACTATCAACGTATTGTTTTGTAGGGGAGCGGTGGTGGGCGTAAAACTAGACGACGGATGGCCCGAGAGCTGGAGGAACAATTTCTTCTAGTGTTAAAATATCAAGACAGTATATTACAATTACAAGACAATATATTAAGGACGTACCAGCAGGCGAGAAGAAAAGTATCAAGACAAGATATTATGGGACAACATATAAAAGATGTACAAAATTCAGGTTTCTACATCAAACATTTTGACACGCAGATACTTTACATCCTTTTCACACACAGACGCATTTAGACACACACACGCTTTTATACACAGACGCTTTTACACACACACACACGCATTTACACACAGGCTCCTTTACACACAGACGCTTTCACATACAAACGTTTTTACACACATGACACTTTTACACACAGACGTTTTTATACACAGACGTTTTTACACACAGACACTTTTACACACAAACACTTTTACACACTGGGTTTTTTCGCGAGCTTGCGGGTTCGTAGGGAATAAGGTCTGCCGAAATGCATAAGACTGAACCAGGTGGACCAGCAGAACAATAAGAATTTCCAGTTTCAATCTGGCCTTGGAAAGAATATGCGTGACACTTTTGGTAAAGATCTTTACGCAGTCTGTAAAACTTTAAGCCCGACAAACTCCGATGAACTTAACCTTGCGCGCAAAGATGTCCAAACATTTCCTACGTGTGTTTTGACATTTTCGCCCCTAAAACGCATGGAAAAACAGCACGCAGAAAGTAAAATCGCATTTTTATAACCAGTTTTCCACTTTGGCAACGCCATTTTCACGTAGCAAATTCGGCCGCGACGAACCCCGACGAACTCCGACGAACTCTGGCGAACTCCGTTCCTGGGTCATATCAGAAACTGATCTCTGGTTTTTTCCTGACCAGCCTTAACCTACCACAAAGCGACACACAGCGCCTGAATGCCAAAGTTCCTTCCCAGCTGCTACCAACAAGGACGGGGTCAGGGTCATACCTTGTGTTCTAGAAATCCCTTATTCCCAACGAACCACGTTGCTCGCGAAAAAAACCATTACACACAGACGTTTTTAGACAGAAACGTACACACTAGAACAGAACTGGATCATTGGAGTGATCCGTTGGGAACTGAATCCCGTAAACGTGCAATTACACCAGATGAATCATGTAAGGTAGATCTCCATGTGGCAGTATGCAACCTTTAAGGTAAAGTTCCAATAATTGAAATCATGAACAGAAACTTGACCGTAAAGTTCCAAGTACACAAGATCACGAACAGAAGCAGGTCCACAAAGTCCCCAAAATAAAAAAAAAATACCTTCGCCGTTTGCCATGTCCGTTAAAAAATACCGTGCAGATAAAGTTGGAAAAGATGCGCGACAACCGTGTTGAAATAGAATCCAGCTTTGCGGTTCTTGGCTTGGCCGCTTGCCATTCCCAGTGGAAAAAAAGTGATTCGCAGGGCGAGTTAATCAGATTCCATATCATCACGAGCTGACAATGTCTTCGTTGGGCAGCGTCTGTCAGTCGTGCACTGCCCCCCTGCATCTACTGACAGTATAAAGAGATAGAAGTTTTACATCTGTTCAGATGTTCCACACACACACACCCACCCTGCCCAGCAGAGTTTTTTTGTCTTTGTTGGAAGATACCAGTAGCATGGCTGTTTCACGGAGATCTATGAAGCTGCCTCAGAAGCACCAGAATCAGTAGGACGCCAGGATGCCAAACTCTGAAGTCCCTGAGCAAGAGCCCGTGGCTGGTTTGCAGGAATGCCATTGGTGATCGCGGAAGCAGGAGCAGAAGGGGTAGTACCTGACTCCAATTGGCAAAAAAAAAAATTGAATCAACTGGGACGCCGGTGCCCAATGCAGGGAATGCAGGAACAGTTGGGGTAGGAGAAACTGTATCCACTGGAAATTGATTTTCAGGGAAGTCGGCAAAAGGAGATCCTCCATCTCAAGTGCCAATAATCAGATAGCGAAAGAACCATGGTATGATTTCCGGTGAGCCGAAAAATGACGTTGTTCACTTCGTTGACCCAAAGTTCGCGGCGATCTCCGTTGCAAGTGTAGCTATTGAAGGTAATCGTATGGACTGTTTGCTCTGTGTAGCATGGTCTGC